CCGCCTTTTTTTTTTTTTTCCCCCTGAAACATTAAATTCACTGCCTTTTAACCAAACAGAAGATACGTCCCCAGAACATCATGCTCTTGGGAGCTCAGTAACTGACAATTAGAAATTATTTTTTTTTTCTTCCTAGGTACTATGGCCCTGATAACCAACTTGTTAACTTCAATCCTAGTGACAGGATTCATGGTGACCAACACCACATCTTTTGTTAGCATGCACCTATCAAACTTCCTCAGAATCCAACAGCAGCCTTAGGTAGAGTGTGCACGCTGGAGCAGCCCATTGAGTACCTTTATTTTTACACTTTCTTTTTACCTAAACCTCAGCAATCTGTTGGGTATCAATGCAGCATCTTCAGTGGCGGCTGTTTGTTGGGCAGTGCTGTACTAGATCTGTTTGAGAATGTGGCATGTGCTATGGGATTATCAACTCAGGTTTCTGTGACATCCACAAAAGCACCAAGGAGCCTTACTGAGGATTTGAAGGTATGTCTTCAAAAGCTATACTAATTTTTCACTAAGTTTTTGTACTGCCATTGGTCCAATGGATTTTCATTATAAAGGTTGTCTAGCCATTCCTGTATGAAGAAAAGATTTTTCACTTAACGGTGAAAGTGTCTTGAAGCGTATCTAAAGTCTTGTTGATATGATGAAACATTGGCATTTCTAATATATGCATCACCCTTAATTACTATTCAGATTCCGTATCATGCCATGACTTGTCCTATGTAACTGTCCTGGAATTTCAGGTATACGGTAGTTTCAGACCACAAATGTGGCCAACCTCACAAATGTAAGGCCAACTACAAAACACTTAAGCAAATACTAAAATTTCAAATGCTAGCCAACCGATCATATTTGCACAACTTATGATTGTGAAATAAATTCTTCCACACGGAAAACAACAAACATACATTATATGAAACTGAGCTCCAGAACTCTGCTGCCCTTACCAGAGCCAACACTGGTGCTGGAGATGGATATCCCTTAATTATAAATAGGAACAGTAATGCGTATACATGATAATTGTATTCTGGTCACTGGCATAGTGAAGAGATGCTCCCATCTGTTGAAGATATTTTACCTTCTCCTGTGGAGAGACAGAATGCAGCTGTGAAACTGCCTTTTGTGTCACATACACATGTATGTACCTTGTACACTATTCACACTATGGGAAAGCTGGTACCTTTTTCTTCTGAGGCTGATTTGAAATTCAACATGTTTGGAATAACCTATACAGCACTTGAGTTTGAGGGACATCAGACTTACTGGTGCCTGAAACTTCAGCGCAAAATAATCCTAAATTCTTCCTTTGTAATTACTGAATATGGTTAATATGCTCCTTGCTGGACATAGGAAATGGAATATAGCACACACTAAACTGGAGTGATGAAAAGAGAAGGACACTGCTTATTAGCGGTGGATGCTTCCAAATGTCTCTGGTCTTGAAATGTTTTCTGTGGCTCCTTCTGCCCCCCTGTGAAACTAGTTCTATTCACTAATGGTAACTTGCTGTCTACTAGTGATGCTACCATCGCTCAGTAAAATGGCTAAGTTTACTTGAACAGAGCAGTAAAACATTAGACACTGTCTTCCATGAACTAGACTTAGGCCCTAAATATTTTACATGAGTATGAACCAGTCTAAACCACCCTATTGTTCTGCTTGCCTTTGCGTGGCTAAGGCCTTAGTCCCTCTATACAGGGACGAGCAGTTCTGCCATTAACTTCACTGGGATCAAGATCAACTCCTGCATCGCAAATAGCAAAGCATTACGCAACTATACTTGTGTAAGATACTTGTGTAAGTATAATAAGATCAGGGTGAGCCGCATTCTCCTTTCCTCAGGGAGTTATGTACAGTACCTTGATTGGAACAGGAGAGAGACTTAACCTGATTGAATCATTAAATGGAAATAGAAGACAATGAACATTATCCACTTAGTTCATTTCATAAACTCTAATAATTAAAACTGCATGTGCAATAATAATGGCTATTCCAGATATTGAAGTAAAGTATGTTTGATATGTTGTGGCATAGGCATAATGCAAACATTGAGTTAATGGAGGATCTATGTAATAAGAGTTACATACAGAACCTGCAATTGGAAATGTATAAACACAACAGAATTTCACTACGTCACAATTCATTAAGAAAATCAGCAATAACTGACAAGTTAGGCACAAAATGGATTTTCATGTTGCTGGGATGAAATATGGCTCCCAGCAATTAATGGGTTTAGTCATATTAAGCAGATAAATAATGCTATCTGACATTACAGTATTTCACATTACACTAAAATTTTGTAACGTTTGCTCATAATATGACTTGAAATATGTTACCTAGGAAAACAAATGTTATCTCTGGAACAGTCAAACCCCATTAGAAACCTTAGGCTTGAAAAATCACAATGTTAACAGTTATATCCCCTAGCAAAGGTTTGCTTTCCTTAAATAGTGTTAAATTTAAACCCAGAAGCTCTAGTCTCTGTTGGAGTTACTCTTCCTTAGTGCATCGAGCTTGAAAAGAAAATTTAGTGCACAAAATGTACTGTGCGTTACTGAATGTTGGCAAGTCAAACACTATGAAGAGCTGCAGAAAGAAGAGGGTAGCTTTTAGAGTGAAATCACATCAGTGATACCTATGTTGTCTAAAAAAAATGCTTTTATGTTCTGCTTTATAAAAAAGCTGCTAATCTTAGTATGACCTCATTACCCATTATTGATGAATAATTTGATTACTGTAAACCTCCTAATTGGCATGTTTGCTTTTTTTCATAGCTGGACATAGTCTAACTGAGTACCGTTCTTTCTGTAAAAAATTTTACTGTAGAATAGTATGGGTTTAAAATTCCAGTTCCTGTTTGCACGAGTGAATTCCTCTGATTTTAGCATGGTTACTCTTGTAAGTATAGTTTTATACTGGAAAATACCCAGTGTGTTCCAAGCATTAATAGAAATCAAGAACAAACACGGGAACATGATTTCTCTCTCATTTGATGCTAATTCTATTCCAAATTCATTGAGTAACGTGGAAGAAAATGTGATTGCTTGTCAAAGCTCAGATGCAGCTTTTTGTTGGGATGGAACGCAGTGGATTTGGAAGTGTCATGTTTAGCTGAAGGCAATGATGCTTAGTGTCTCAGCACCCAACTCCCACTGAATTTCAACAAGAGTTAGCAAACAACCTTCCCTTGGGCTCCACTGAAAATCCTTGGCTTGAGTATCCTGTCTGAGCTGCAGTTTCACTTGCAGGAAACAAGCTTTTTTTTTTTTTTTTTGAGGTCTTTTAAGGTATTGTTTCCTGAAACAGCAGAAGATAATCTGAGTGCAGAGAGAGTACTGCAATTCTGTTACTAAAATATAAAAATGTTAAAATTCAGTATGAAAGGACTACTAAAAAAAAGTAGTTCTTAAGATTGTTAGGATTATACAATAAACATTTCCAAATCCAAGTCATAAACAAAACAGATAATCTTTTACATGTGCCAAGATACAATTTTATTGCTTCTCAGATAACACTGGATTTAGGCATTTATTTAACTTGAGGGTACCGGAAGAGCAAAAACAGTTCACTTATGTCTTATGACATTTGTCCTACTGTATGTAAATGGAAGAGGTAGGGACTTTTCAGAGGCATTGCTGGCAATGTCATAAGAAGTGCACACCAAAAGCTTAATAGTTGTGCTAGCAAGAACATGTAATCTCTGCCAGACTCTAATATCTAGATTTAATTATCTTCAATTGGAAGACGTAAAACATTTCACCACAGTTCTTACACGACTGTATAAAAATGACACTGTTTATGGAAGTCAGTTCTGCATTGTTTCATGATGATTTTCACAGATCTGTTAAACTGCTTAAGTATACCACAATGTGGGAGTCTCAAAGCTCCTTGCTGGATGGTTGTGTGATCACCAGTGTGTGATGCTGTACACCAAACCTTCAAGGAACCTGCACGTGAACTCTGTTGTGGAGCCCTAATCTCCTAGTATTAGTGTTCAGAACAGATTCTAGTGATAGCAATAGCAAGTATATATATTGGACTTATTTCTAGCTTTTTTTTTAATGAGGTGAAGAAGAAACAGTTGGTGCCCTATGTCCAGCTGCTGTTTGTAGATGACCACATAGTGCTGCAGGAGCTGCCAATGACCCAGTGCTCTGGGAACTACTGGCTTTAAAGGCTTAGTTCCTGCTTTTCACATAATCTCTCTATGCTAGTCTGTGTTAGTGTTATTGTACCTTCATAGTATCAAAAAGTATTGGTTTTATTGTGCTTATTTTAAAACCAGTACATTTAAAACCAACCAAACTTAGATAAGTTGGGTATATAAAAATATAGATGTAACAGCTCACATTATACAGTAAAAAAGAAAGCACCTGTGTGGAAAGCTTAACCCTTTCTTTAGGAAAGCTGTCTTCATGTAGTTGCTTCAGTAACGTGTACTTATACGTATATACATACAAAACCAGAATTTTAGCCACATAAATCTGTCCTCTTATGTGATAGAGAAGACAGAAGGCCCAGAGGGGTGATATGTCTCATTCTTTCTCCATCGCAGAACTGCTGCCATTCACACTGTGTGAACAAGAGTATGGCTTGGGTAAAGTGCGAAAAGCATGAGATAAATTATGCTCCATGTGGCATAATTCCTCCCAGGAAACAGCATAACCAACAGCCCACAAACAATTGTACGTTATTCTGCTGTCAGAAGGAGCAGCTGTCACTGTGAACTCTACA